CCCCCACCCCTCCCCGGATATTCAACCAGTCCCCTAATTCTGTCTCGTCTTCCCTAGTTACATCTTCAGACTCTGGCCCTTCTTCTCTGTCCTCGCTAACAAAGGAACCCAGCCCTCCATCATTTTAAACAATTCCCCCATCTTTAAAAGATCTCCATCTTCTCCACAAAACTCCACTCCTTTCTACAGCACACCTGGCCCTTCTGGTCAGTGAATCCCACTCTTGCTTTAACTCCTGTTGGACTATAATGGCAATCACTTATTATTATTATTAATTCTCACCTGAGGATATGTTTAGAGGAGGGAGTGAGGGAGGGAGAAAGAGAGAGAGAGAGAGAGAGAGAGAGAGAGAGAGAGAGAGAGAGAGAGACATGGATGTGAGAGAGAAACATCGATTGGTTGCCTCCTATATGCGCCCCAACCAGGATTGAACCTGGATGTGCCCAGACCTGGAATTGAACCCACAACTTTGGGTGTAAGGAACGATGCTTCAACTGAGCCACTGGGCCAGGATACAGTCACTTACAGCACTGCCCAGTTGAGCTTTCTACTGTGATGGGAATATTACATGTCTGTACTGTCTAACGCTGTACCACTGGTCACATGCAGCTACTGAAGCATTTGAAATGAGGCAAGTATGGTTTTAGCTCATTTACATTTAATTTTAAATGGACACTATGATGAGTAACTACTCAGTTCAGTCTTCAAGTCACCTCCCCCTTCCTGCCACCAGCCCCTTCTGCCTTCCCCTCCACCTCCCTCCACACAGGCCCAGGGCCACTCTCCTCGCCAAGGCTGTCCCTGTTCCTGGCCTTCCCAGGAGGCTTGCCCCACATGCACCTCTGGGCTCTGTCTGCAGCCCTGAGCCCGCTCCTGTCATGCCGACCCGTGCAAGTCACAAGCACATCACCTTTTTCCTGCAGGCTTGTCCCACACCCCTGGCCAGGCACGCTGAGTCCTCTGTGCTGTGAGACGCACCCATACTCTACCTGCTCTACTTAATCACTGTCCCTCCATCCTCCTATGCTGCCTTCTGCAGGGGCTATCCTCTGTAGCCCAGGCCGGACGGACCCCAGTCCATGCTCCAGCCCTGCTGGGACCTTGGGCAACCATGTGGCCCACTAGGTGGCCTTTGAGCTATTTTCCTAAAAACCAAAGGGAGGATACAGTCTGACAGCCACAGGTAGTGAGACAAAAAGAGTCGACCCACTGAACAAAAAAGCAATAAGCATTTCCCCTTTCCCTTACTACAAGGGTATGAAGTATTATCAGCAGATCTTAAAATATTCTAAGTACAAACCCAGATCTCACCACCAGTGAAAGGCTACCCTGAGGCTGGGACTGCAGGTGCCACTCACAGCTGAAGATCTGGAGCAAGGAGCCCAGGAAAGGCCGCTGGCCCATCGCTGCTGCACTTACACGGGCCAACAGCCCGGGGCTCAGCTGCACTGGGGAAGCCAGCCACCGAGTAAGCAGACCACCTGACTCCTGTGCAGGTCCTTTCTGAATCCTATCTAAATGTCAAATCAGGCCCAGCCAGTATGGCTCAGTGGTTGAGCGTCGACCTGTGCAAACCAGGAAATCACAGTTCAATTCCTGGTCAGGGCATATGCCCGGTTTGCAGACTCAATCCCCAGTTAGGGGGCGTGCAGGATGCAGCCGATCAATGATTCTCTCTCATCACTGATGTTTCTATCTCTTTCTCCCTCTCTGAAATCAATAAAAACATATTTTAAAAAAATATCTAATCAGCCAACACAGGGATGGAGGACCCACCGTGCAGGTGTGTCCGGACCCACAGCACCAGTGTCCCTCAGGATGCAGCCAGCAGCAGCCGTACTCTGGGCAGTTGAATTCTGGGGACGATCGGGGCAAACACTGTCCACGAATGGAAACCAGCTCGTCCAGGACAGTTTGTTATTCATCCTCACAGGCTAAGTGCATGGCCAGCTGAGCAGCACCGGGGTTGTTTCCCAGTGGTCACAGCTGCATGGATGCGTGAGGCATGATGGGAGCATGCACTGGGCAAAGGGTCTGCTTCTTAGGCAGATGCAAGGATGGATCTGGGCCCTTGGCAAGAACCACGCATGTCGGATCACAGCCACAGAGAAGATGGAGCACGAAGAACGAGTGGGACGGAGGCGTGCTTGAGAGGAAAGGGAAAGACACAATCCCAGCCCTCAGCAGCTCTCAGGATACGACAGAAACGCATTACCTTCCTTCTGAGTGGGTTTATTTACATACAAAGCTGGCTGTGTGTACATAAATGCACAGACTCATGGGCAGGGTTTCAGTTTACTCCTTTTCCTGCTGTGTGTGTGTGTGTGTGTGTGTGTGTGTGTGTGTGTGTGTGTGTGTTTAATGATCATCATACCGTTTTGAAGACATAACATGCCTAACTTTCACTCCAGCTGCCTCCCACTCTGGCTTGAGGAGCAACTTCGACGGAATCCAGACAGTCAGCTTCAGCAGGGGAACCAGGCTCCCTGCTCGGTACAATAAAAGCTCCCAAGATAAATATATATTATATTTAATCCCGGATGGCGATGCATCCTCTTCCCAATACAGAAACAGGGGAGTCGGCCTCTATTTAGTTTGTCTGATTGCTTTAAAGAGGGGGAACAGGTTGGCCCTGGAAAACGATGGTCCTCTATTCATTAGAGTGTCAATAATGCCCAGGCCAGGCATATCGACAGCGGATTAGCTTGGGCTGAGTCTGTGTACAAGACCAGTGCCTTTTTTATCCCAGCTTGTCTCCAGATCAATACACCCATCAGCATTCGAAAATTAGCCCGAGATGAGATTCCGATACTTGAGGTGGTGTGTCAGGCTAAGAGGGCACCTCGCCAACTCACGGATGGGAACACCTCGCTGGGGATTAGACGTTTTCCATTAGCTTGGACATGAGCGAAAATTGATGTAGGCCCCCTCCCCTCCCTTCCTCCCATCTCCCTATCCTCCACATAGCCAACCTTCTCTCTGGGCGTCTATGTAAGACCTCGGAGCTATATTTCCTGCCGTTTGATTCGATAAGCATTTACTAAATGTTCCCTTTGGATAAGGCACTTACTTTAGGGCAGGAGCATATAAGCGTAAGAAAAAAAAATTACAAAAATGCGGTGCCCATTTTCAAGGAGGCTTCAAAATTCATCACTATCCCTTTCATTCTCCAGTTCATAACAGCCCTGCTTCCTACAGCAAATGTCTGTGACAGTCCTGCCCTGGTGTCATGGTCATTGCTAGATAGTCCGCTCTCAACAGTACATGCATGGGGTGCAGGCTGGGGCTTGGGGAACGGTTTCAAATGCACCACCCGGTATAGATGTAAATGATGCCACTGGGGCATTCTGGAAAACTCCTCAGACAATAGGGATTCTCAAGCTTTCTGGCCAACTATCCATAATAAACATGTATTTTTACATTAAAAACTTTCAATGGCACAGAATTTTATGTAATAATACCTATTTGGTTGTTTGCAATACACTCTGATAGCTTCTATGCAATTCTACTTCCTTTAAAAACTGCTGTTTGCACCCAGCAGTTGGAAAAATATTCATGTATACAACTGATAAAAGAAAAATTTCCTTTTGGAAGTAAAGAGTAAGAAAAAAACAAATAAAAACAACCTGGTGTGACCCAGCTTGGCCACACGAGGAGGCCTCCGATGTCCCAGTGGTGTGATTCCCTGTCCCATCCAGGGCCCACGCTGTTCTCACTCCCGTTGTGTGTTCTCCGCATCCCTGGTCACACTATCCTGCTCTTCACGGTTCCTGCCCACAATCCACGTGCACCCTGCCTTCCCACAGCCAGCTCTCCCTTCATTCTTCCAGCTCCTTTGCTTTTTTCCTTCTTGAGCCACCGTTCTCCACCCAAGGTCTCCTTACATTCACCGGGCACACTGACAAGTAGGGGCAGGGGAAGGAGCCTCTGAAAGGGAAGTTTACTGCCCAAACCTGCCATTTGGGCAGGTGAAGGGAACTAGGAAAGACGTGGCCACAGAGGAGCCAGGATCTGTGCTCAAGGGCTGAAGCATAAAGCAAGGAATTGGTCCACTGTAAAAGTTGTCTTAAAAAATTTTTAAAAAACAACAGTAGGTTAATGAATAGCTATCACTTAAGCAGCACCTTATATTCCAGCCCCTCTTCTGAGCATTCCCCACATTAACACACGTAAAATGTGGTTCCCCCCAGCTCCTCTGGTCACAGACCCATTGCACAGAGGGAAGTCCTGAGGCTTGGTTAGAAACCGGGTCCAAGTCTCACAGCCAGAAAGTGGCTGAGTCTGATCCCGAGGTCCTCCACGCTAGTTAGGGATGCATCCACCGTGGCTAAGTATTGTCTGAAGGCCCCGGGACCGGTTCTGCTTCATGGGGAAGAGGCGAACACCATTCCCAGGGCCTGAGCATCAAGGAGAGAGTACAACCAAGAGAGACCCAAAGAGGAAACGAATGTACAGCTTCCCAAAGCTGGGGCTGAGGGGCACAACCCAAACTCAGTGAATCGGAGCGGGGGAGAACAACCCTGGGGCTGGGAGGTGAGGGAAGATGAAGTGAGTGGGAAACGATGGAGGTGGGGTACAGGATGCTTCCGGGTAGCTGCCAGCGCCCCTATATGGGGCTCTGCTTTCTCTGAAGGCTGCATGAGGGTGTGGCAGGGGTACAGGGCCAGAACTGAAATGCTGCTCTTCCAATCAAGTGGGCTTAGAATTGGAAGGAACTGAAAAATCTTAAGAGGAGGAAAAAAGGCCAAGGAAAGCAATAATTAGAGGAGAATTTTCTGAGAAAATATATTATTGGAACAAAAGCCAAAAAAAAAATCCTAGTCCTATTCAATGGGAAAGTGATTTGAAAACTTCCCATCGGATGGCAAGATGACAATTAAGAAGGTGTCCTGGCTGGATGGGACAGACAGACAGAACCCATTTCTGTTGAGGATCACAGACAAAGTGTTTGACAGGCTCTCCAGCTGCCTGCTCAGACCGCCCAGCCAGACCCCGCCTACCTTGCACGATGAGGTGGACCCGCGAGGTCTTGGGGTGGTTGTCCGTCTGCACAGAGCAGGTGTACGGGCCCTCGTCATACACGTCCACGTTCTGGATCTCGATGCTGTACTGGGTTTGGGTGTTGCTCAGGAGAACCACGCGGGGGTCCAGGCACCACTTGTCGTTCCCGGCGTAGAGGATGGTGCTGCGGTTCAGCCAGGCCACCCGGGTGACCCGGTTGTCAATGGTGCACCTGGAGGGAAGACCAGATGGACACGTCAGAAAAAACAGGAGCCATTAGGGTGGGGTCCCTGGCAAGGGTGGGGTGAGTTTTTGTGCCTGTCTCCGCTCCCTGCCCCAGTCTACACGCATGCATGGCCTGGGTGTGACGGGTCACGGATGGCACTTTCTGGGATTGGCGGCAGAGGTCTCATGGGATTAGAGCAGCAGTTCTCAACCTGTGGGTCGTGACCCTTTGGGGGTCGAACGACCCTTTCACAGGGGTCGCCTAAGACCATCAGAAAACACATATATAATTACATATTGTTTTTGTGATTAATCCCTATGCTTTAATTATGTTCAATTTGTCACAATGAAATTGGGGGTCACCACAACATGAGGAACTATATTACAGGATCGCGGCATTAGGAAGGTTGAGAACCACTGGATTAGAGCCTTAGAATATTAGATATGTCAGACTTCTGGGTCCTGAGCAGGTCAGTGCTTCTGTTACCACTGAGCACAGGGCCAGTGCAATGGTCCACACTATTCACAGTTAGAGCCCGAGGCATCTTCCCCAGCAGATGGCTGGGCCCTTCCAGCACGGCCAGCCCTCCTCCTGCTCCAGGATTTCCATGATGCATTATCCCTTACATTCCTTTCCTGGTGATCCAAGCGCACGAAGTCATTCAATACTTAGGACAACCCTATGAGGACGGTTCTACAGGCAGCCCTCCTCCTGCTCCAGGATTTCCATGATGCATTATCCCTTACATTCCTTCCCTGGTGATCCAAGCGCACGAAGTCATTCAAAACATTCTTCTCATCTGAGATTAGTGAGTTCTGACAGGAGGCTTCTGAAGTCAAAGCTAACTAGGGACCACCCCCACTGCAACTCGTCTTCATTATATTTGGGGGCAGAAATGTTCAATTATTGCTACATGAAAGGCTTTTTCCAACATCTCAACACTGGCTGCACATGTAAAAACAGATGTTCTTTCTTTTTTATTTTTGCATCTGGAGTCCCCAAAATGTGGCAGCTCCCTTCCCTTTCCCTACACTTTCAAATTTCCCAGCTACTCTCGCCAGCTCCTCATCAATCTCTCTGTCTGCATCCGTTTCCTTCTCTCGCTATACCCGGCTAAATTCACAACCCTGTCCTCATCCCAACTATAATGCTGGAAATAGCAACGTAGTCCAGTGGCTATAATGGTGCCTGGATTTTATATATGCTTTTGTGGTGTCCAAGTACTCTTACATCCACACTGACTCATCTGATTCCTGCAATAAATCTGTGACACAGGTGACCTTACCCACTCTCTCCTTTAAAGATGAGACTCCGGGGTTTGGAATGGCCTGGTGACCTGCCCCAGGTTAAAGAGCCAGGAGGTGACGTCAGCCCTGGCACTCAGGTTGTCTAGTTCCTGGTCCTGTGTGCTCTTCGGGATGCAAAGGTGAGTGCCAGCGGGGGGCACGATCGCTTCCACCGAATCCTCAAAAGGGTCCGTGACCATAAACAGCCTGAGAACCACTGTCAAGTGCACCAGCCTCCTAGGCGGTCCCTCTCGAGAGGCGATACCTGCGCTGTGCATCCTTTCCGCTTGTACTTGTGCAAATGTCACCCGGTCCTGCAGGGCCACTCAGGCGCAGGTGGGAAGCCGTGCTGAGAGCTCCCGCAGGCAAAACCGCTCAACCAGAGCGCCTTGCTCGCTGTCCAGTGGGCTCTGTGCTGCCGACTGTTTCCCGGGCAGCACAGGGTAGGAATGATAGAGACCTAACTAGGAAACGACCCGGGGGTCTTTCTGACAATGGGCACAGAGCATCTGCATCAGAATCCTAGGAGGAGTCTATTACAGATTCTCTTTCCTACTGACTGTCTTTGGGAACTCCCAAAATGTGAATTTCTAACAATAGCCCAGTTTGGTCATATCCACACCAACGTTTGAAAAACACTGGGGGAGAGCGGTGCATCGCCATGACCAGCTACGTGATTTGTGGGGTTTGGTGCAAAAGGAAAACGCAGAGCCCTTTGGTCGAGGATTATGAACGATTTCAAGGAGGCGACGTCAGAGCATTGAACTGAGGGCTGGGCCTTGCTTCCAACAGGAAGCTGCAGAACCAACATTCAGAACCAGGGTTTTTGTTGTGGCTGTTCTTTGTCGGGTTTCTTTTTCTTCTTTTCTCTCCTCAAATTCAGTGTTCTTGAATGTCCTTATCAGACGCCATCACATTTAAATTCAATGTTCATCTGACTCACCAGGAAGCCCTGATGCATACAGACTGCTGGCTCCAACCTGGTCTGGCGACTGCACTTGAACACCCATTCATTTAGACACCTGGTCCCCGGTGAGCTGAGAGCAGCCGAGCGCGCGGGCCCCAGGAAATAAGTCTTGTTGGAAGCCGTCTTCCATTACTTCACAGGGGGAACTTTCTAATGACCAATATGCTCCTGCAGGCAGAGCGCTAGTTCTTTGCCCTCCAGCAGCCGAGGATCTGACCAGACACAGGTGAACAGCCCTGGTGCGGGAAACGCTGACCGCCAGCCTCGAAACCGCCTGAATCCCTGTTTTGATGCCACAGTGGGGTACCTCACTGCCTCTTGCCGATGCAGGAGGGCTGTCTTGGCTTCCCTGGGAGCGTCTAATCCCTGGGACTGACGGGCACCGAGCAGTCTCACCACAGGGCCCCGCGCTCACAGGGCCAAAGATGCTCCTCTGCAGGTGCACTCACGCTCCAAACGCAGCCCATTTCCAGCTCGGCGGTGCGGCCCCTGTGATATACTGCGCTGAGGCATTGGCGTAGCTCCAGCTGCGGTTTGGGCACATCCAAGATCATGTTTAGATGTCCAAACCGTCACAGCAGGAGATCGGTCTTGTTGAGGCTCCTGGCATTAACGCCGGCTTCTGCAGAGATGGATCGCAGAGGGAACCTGGCCGCCAGCTCCTGTCACCTCCTCATCCTGCCCCCATCTTCCTGTCTCATTTATCGAGTCCTCACAACAATGTGGAGGAGACAGTTCTCTCAAGTTTTTTTAAAAAAAGCAAACTGAGCAAAATGCTCTCCCAGCCAGAGCCAGTGCTGTGGTTGGTGGGAGTCAGGAGGAGATGCGGGGTGGGAAGGGGGTGGCTCAGTCAACAGGTTCCCTTTCATGCAGACACTTCCCTCAACACAGACTCCCAAAACACACCGTGGTGTGTCACTTCCCCCATGAAGGTGACTGGCTGGGAGTAGGAAGGTGTCACACTCAACTCTCCCCGGCTAACCCAGGGAGGCGGCCTTGTCCTCAGGGAACTAACTAGTCACAGGCTGGCGGGAGGCGGCTGGGAGGAGAACTGGAGATATAGGAAGGTTTGAAATGACCTCCCCAAGCCTTGGAAGTCTCTCACCCTCCCCCCACAATCTGGATATAAGCTGGGCTCCCACAGGCTCATGCTCTCCGCCCACCCTGCCACACGCAGGAAACAGAAGGACAGCCATTGCACACGTAGGGTGTTTGGATTCAGACCTGGAACTCCCAACTCCCCAAAGGCCAACCATCTCTCAACCCCGAAAGCCTCCATCCTCCAGCCTCAGTGCTGCCCTCAGTGACTCAGACCCCGGCCTTCCAGGCACTGGCCGCGGGCCTCGGGGGGTTGGTGGGAGTGGCCTTCCCCTCTCACCAAGCCTGCTGCTCTCCCCTCCTGAGTGTGTCCCTCCCTGCCCCCCCACAGCCCATGGCCTGCCCGAGGCCACATTCTGGCAGAATTCAGACAGACAGATAGACAGAGCCTGGGAGGGACTCTTGCTACCATTTCACTGCTGAGCCTCAGTGCCCTGCTCTGTGTGTGTGTCTGTCTGCACTCTGTTCCTTTTCTGGGAGAAGTTTCTTCTTAGAGGGAACAGGCCTGCTAGATTTGAACAGATTCTCAAGGATGTCCAGCCTGCATGGACCATCAATGCATTTTCTTCGATGGTGAAAGCCTCACGTGTAGTTGACCAGAGGATCAGCCACAGGTGCCCGTGCTGGACCTTGCACCTGAGTGCAGCCCCTGGTGGAAAATGCACACCTGCAATTGTCTGCGGCTGCGCTGACGGTGCCAACACACTACGATGCTTACTCTCTTGCGGATGAATGTGGCTTCATTACACTTGCTGCGTTTCTACACAGAGGGATAGCAAAAGATGTTTCAGCAAGATGTTTCAGCAAGACCAGGATGAAGCCATACAAGCGTGGACTCAGGACCTCCATCTACTTTGGGGTTTGAAAGGTGATGAGAGCGAGAAAGAGAGAGAGAGAGAGAGAGAGCTGGAAATTGCTAGACAAACAGACCCAATATATATGAATGTTTGGACTCTTCTAAAGCCTAAGAGTGTGCTGAAATAAAGAGAAGGATTATTAAAGAAAGAGGAAAAAATCCAGGCTTGGTCTTTCTTAATCCCACCTGCCTGGGGATCTGAGGACTATAATGGATTCAGGCAGTGGGTAATCCAGCCAGTCCTTCCATCAAATGGCCCTTTAACTGCTTTTGAAAAGCAACACATCTCCAGCCAGGCTGGGGGCTACGGTGAAATAAGCGTGTCCACCCTTCACAGCACCTGGTCACAATCTCCTCTTATCGCACGGAAACGCTCCAGCGGCCCCTAAGTTCGCTTTCTCTGCGCATTTGGCTTGTGCCCAGCCCACCCCTCGAGCTTCACAGAGAAACATTACAGACTGGATGGCTCAGAAGTACCAGCACCCAGCTGCTTGGGTTTGGCAGGTGCATCTTCCAGATGTGCTTCTGGGGGAAACCAACCAATGGGCAGCCAGGTGGCTTCACCACCGACCTGCAGACCATTCAGATGTCACTGCACCTTAGCTCTTTATTGCAGAAGCACCTCCCCTACTGGGGATGCTAATTTTGATCCTACTGGAATCTGCCCTCATCTCAGTATTTACAACATTGCTTTGGGTCATGTAGAGAGAAAAACAATAAACTTGCACACAGCTCACACAGGCCTTGCAGCTTTCAACCACTACTATTTCACTGTAAGTTAAAAAAAAAATACGGCTGT